CAGTGTTGCCAGACGAGACGACGCATGACAATTGCCACATACAGAAGTATCTGAGGCAAATTATGCATACTGGCATAGTGTGCGGGTGTACCCTGAAGAGTCGACATTGAATCGAAATTCCGCGATAGATTGCTGTTCGGCCCGAAAACACGACTTATCTCTCGGAAGACCCAGCCTCCAAAAGACATGCAACATCGTGCAGCAAAAGCAGTAAGAGTGCCCGCCTCCTTTGTCGCAGCCCATTCCTCTGCGTTGCTGGTGGTTATTTCCATTCCTTGTGGCACTTGGGCTGCTTCATCATGGGATAAGTGATCGTGGTCTCGGTCGTCCGCTGCCCGTTGGGCAAGCCTGCATAGCGCTATAAGCTCCTCCCGTATTGACCCCAAAAGTCTCTTACCTTTGTAGACCCAAAATTAGCCCAGCCAGCAACATATCTTGTTGCGTTTCAGCCACCACTCTTTCGTGCACATCTCTGTCTCCTGTCAGCCAACGCAAGTGGCTTATCTTGGAGCGCTTCGTGGGTGTCTTGGGCAGCGATTCTAACGCCAGGGCGATCGCCTTAGGGAGGTCTGGAACTAGCTGTCTTTGCTCTTCTGGGAGCTTGCTGTGGAGGAGTGACAGTGCGTCATACATAGTTTGCAGGTTTTGGACACGCGTTGCAGCTCGATCGAGGTCAGTGGGAACGCGGTTCCATCCGCGGCAGAACCGGATTATCCTGGGACCACTTCCCAGTAAAGGAGCAACTGCAAATGCGAGGCCTAAAGCCTCCATCTTGGCAGATAGGAAGCTTTCAAGGCTGGTGAATGCTCAAAGAGTCGATGTAATTTAGAGGTGGACCAAAGTCAAGCCAGGTCAACTGCCCACGGGTGCCTTCCGCTTTAAAACACATCGTAGTGAGGCTGTAGATTTCATTGCCTACATCCGTTGACCGTTGGTGGCATCTAGGTGCGGTATGACCGGAGTCTCGACAATGAGGCTGTAGCATTGAGGTGGTGTCATCCCTGCTGTTCCCAACCAATCCAAGATGTTCAGGCACTGCAGGTCGACCGCCTCAGAGAGACAACACCACTGCAAACATAGCCCACACACACCAGGCCCAAGCGTGACCTTGTGAGTGCAGAGCGCACGAATGAGCCTGGCAGATATCTTGCGTGCATGAACCAGCATTCATGGCAAGGCGTCGACGTCAAGGAGGGTTCGGGCGATATAACACGGCCACGTTGAGGCGCAGGCCACACTTTATGGATTGGCATTGAAACGACTCCAATGATATTCGAAGGGCAAAGGACAAGTAATCTTCATACAGGGTGTCAGCGATGAAAATCAAACCAGTGGCTGTTTGCTAAGTGAAATGGAGGTCTGTGTGAAGTGAAGAAAGTCCTCGCCCGAGTTCATCGGTAAAACCACACCGCAACAATCCGTGATGTAGAAAGAGTCGCCTTCCACAGCACGTCTCATTAGCCAGTCTTGAAGACGACCAAAGAAAAGGTTCCTAGTCCGGGCAAAGACCAGGAAAGCAAATGGGATGCGCACAAGAGAAGCACTGAGGGCATGATGACATGTGGTCGTACAGCCCACCGTAGTATCTTGTGTCACGTGTCAGCATTGCTTTGCGGCGGATCACTGGGCCTCCAAATGTAATTATATGGCGCCATGGCTTTGACGATCCGCACATAGGGCTTCGAAGCTGAGATTATCCATTCGGTTATTTTATAAAAGAATGTTGATCCAATCTTTGGTGCGATGTAACCGCTTTCGGAATGTGCCTCTTATTCTGTGGAGCCTCAGGGTACTCCATACACTTGACTCTTCGTCGTCTGAGGCTCGGGCGCCATTCAGTCAAATTTTCCTCAGAATGCGACAGTGGACTCACATTATCTCTGCATATCCCGAGACCGCGCTAGTGGTTCTAGGAAGATCGACCCAGCCACAGCCCCTTAAAATGCTATGCCCTAGCATGATATGAGTGGGCCGGAATCAAGTAATCAGTGAGCAATTGACGAGAAAGCGCATTTTTCTCAAGGCAACCGACCTTGGTGAACAGAAGATAGAATCGGAAGCTCTCTGGAATCGAGAGAGAAAGAAAGAATAAAGCAACACAAAGAGTGTACGAGGTATGATGTGAAGCGACACGTCGACCTTGGAAGGTCGCCAGGCCCTCCTCTTATGCATGCCCGGTTGACGCAGCGCCAACGCGCCGTCTACACCTGGAGCCACATCGGGTCCTCCTAACGCCTGTGATAATACAATGATCCGCGGGCCCCGCACCAACCACCGGGAATTTTGAAGAGCGGAATTGCGTTACAGCTTTACACTAGACTGTTTGGGCCTCGTCAGCAATGCTCCGTATCCTATTAACTGTGGTTGAACCGCTCGACGAGGGAAAGTATCCCCAACCCGTCTCACGACTTTTAGGTTCAGCCCCTACCTACTCTGTATGTGGGCTACCTTCTAAGTCCCGCGGAAGTTCTGGAAAGCATGAAGCTATCCGACGGTCCGGTCATCACAAAAGTCTTTTTGGAATTCAGGCGTTGTTGGCCCAAACCCACCATAACGCCAACAGCCTGCAAAGACTTGAAGAGGCTTGAGAGTATGAGCTCGAAACAACACCCCATGGACACCTGACAGACTTCTGCCTGACAGATTCTTTTCCCGCACAATTCGACTGCTCCTGTCCGCATTGGCTGGTCAAGGGCTAACCAAACCCCATCTCTTTCGAGCCTATCACTATATTTACTAGGCGAAAACCTGAGACCAAAACCACCCGCATCCTTCGAAGTCGTAGCAACCATCGCTATGAAAAGTTTGTTTCCTGGTTTCATGCGCCCTCCTTTCAATTTTGTCGAGTTGCAGAGGCAATGGCGCGATCCTCCAGGAGCCCGTTCACCAGGGCGATGTGGCTCATCGATGTGTCGATCCACAAGTGACGAAACTGCTTCTCATCCGAGTCATCTTTCTTCCACAATCTGTTCGCTTCTCCTAGGCGGCCTTGACCTTTGCACTAGCTTCGTTTTCCCCCCCACAAAGATTTTACCCCCTTCGCCATTTCAGCAGCTTTGACTTAAAAATATAGTGAATTCGCCACTGGCGCAGGCTTCCAACACCTTGTATTACCTTCCTCGACAGGCGCTTACAACAGAAACTCCTCACTGCACCGTGAGTATTTCACCTCTGAAGTTGGCCATTCGCTTTCCAGCGGGCGCTCTCAACCCACAAGGTGAGAATATGCACATCTCTTTACGCGGGCTATATCTAACTGCGCTCAGTGGCTGGAGAGCGTGTCGAGCATTTCGACGACCTGTTGGTCTTACCGACCATACGAATACGCTTTGGCTTCCGCCGTGACCCCAAAAACTTCTTGAACGCGTCTCGTGGGCTTCAACATCGACTGCAGCAATATACAGCCACCCCAGAAGATCCAGGTTTCTCACCCACACTTCCAGAGACCCTCGATTTAGAACTTTATCACTGAATTGAAGACCCTGAGCAACAGAATCGGACAGAAACAGGCCCGGGTGATCTGGCCTTTGCTCCCAGCGCACAGAGCACGAGTTCTTTTGACAGTCGAGGAGCAACGAATCTGATGATGGCAACAGGGGCGCAAGGGGAAACTTCAAAACCGACCGCGGCCGACCTTGGAGCGAAAGAGACCCAAGAAGTCCAAAAACCGCCGCACCCAATCAGTGCTGGACCCGCGAAGCACGGGAAATAGTCAAGCAAGGGCTCGAGCACAAGCACAAGAGTTGCTCTTGTCATCAACGCGGCTGGAAATAAGTAAGAGTTGGTGCCACTGAGAACACTCAACCCAGCATGGGCACTGACTTGCCAATCCGAAGCTTACTGCTCCATCCGGCACCATTCATCGCCTTTCCAAAACCACTCGATGAAACCCGCAAAGGCTGCCGACCGCGAGTTTCCTCCACCGGTTATTGTATCTTTTAGTGTCCATCTTTCTTTTTGAGCATCAGAATTCCAAGCGAGAGCCTCACCAAAAGCACCGTAATGTCAGGTCATATGCAACCATATTCACCACCCAAGGCTGCTTGTTGTATCGTGGATCGGGTCGAACTTGGTGACGCTCGTGTCGACAGAAAATGCAGAGAGGCGAAGTCCAGCAGGTCGGTCGGTCGTCGGAGGGGAGGGTGTCGTGGTCGTTACACTATTACATAAGGCAGATTCATTCTGGAGCCGTGGGTACGCTGGGGCACTGTGCGGATTGGGGGAGGAGAAAATGTATGTGCGAGGATATAAGGGGGAGGGGAAGAATGGGAACGAGGGAACAAAACTTAGCATTCGATTGTCCGTTCCTTGTTGCCCAGCGACCCTTAAACACCATTGAGGTACTCTGGCAGCCAATGAGGTTTGCAAAGGCAAGCTGTGCATCTTAAGTCACGTGGATATTAACCCCAGAAAATACAATTTCGGATATTTGATAATCCGCTCCTCTACCACTCTCTCTCCAACAGACACACAGAGGTAACACAGTCTGAAATGGGGTTCGACTTTGAACAATCATTTCAGCATTGTAAATCCAGGACAGAGGAGTACCGAAATCTCATGCACTTGGGGACCTCTTGCATATTATTAACGAAGCTTGCTGTTTGTGATGATAGGTTGCAGAAAAGAGAAGAGAAGTAGAAAATGTAAAACCTAGCAATATCTCAGGATCGCCGATGTTGAAATGTATTGCGAATGCGACCGTTGTCGCACACATCAGAAGTCCGATCCGAGCCTGATCTGATCCGATGTGCATGGCAGCACGAGCACGGGACACTCGGAAATATAGAGTCAGGCTGGCCACTCGGGTATTTTTGTGCAATCACAATGACTTTCTTCTGATTCGACAGGGTATCATAGCCTCTGGTGTCCTGTATAGGTAAAAGAACCTCGCTGCTCCGTCTAGCACCCATGAATCCCATTGAGCAAAACCAGTTCCCATTAGATAATCGCCACCGGTCCAAAATTTCCCACAAACGTTCCTCGTACAGCCCGAACCTTTTTCACTTCTTGCCCGCCGCCGGTGCCAGGCCCGGTACATTCGAGTACCTCTCGTCTCTCTCCGTCTTGAAGAGCACCTGGCACCAAAACTCCTTGGCGTCGGCGTCCCACCACGTCCAGTACCTGCCTTCTCTCCTGTCCACCTCCCGACTCTGTAGCTTGAACCCACACGTTTCGTACGGCTCGGCCGCCACCAGGAGGTACTGGTAGTCCCTGTCCGGGTCCTCGACTTTTTGTTCGAACGCGCTCATGAACCGCACGCGCGGCTGCACGTTGGGCGTGATCTCCGGGTACAGGAGCTGGAACAGCAGGCCCACCTGCCGGGTGAGGGGATCCCTGATCTTTGTGATTTTGTAACCCGGGCGGCCGATCTTGACCATGTTCTTGCGCACCTGCACGCCCATCATCCCCGCGCCCGCCAGGTTGCCGTCCTTCTGCATCTCCTTCTGCTCCCGCGCCGCGCGTCGCGCGAGGTTGGTCTGGTGTTTCCGCCCCTGCGTGTGGGCGAGGTAGGAGCCATCGTTCTGGTGCACCGTGAGACACAGTCTGCATTCGAAGGAGCCGACGTGGTTCTTGAAGAAGTAGGGATCTTTGTCCAGGTCGATGGTCTCGAGGGCGAGCTTTCGCAGCCGTTCACGCCGGTCGGCGTTTGTCGCCGAGTGCGAGGCTACACCACCACCCCCGAACTTGGAGCCCGCTCGATTTTGGTAGTCCATGTCTGAATTATCGTGGTGGAGACTGAGGGGTCGGACAAATGTGGTTGATCAGCCGGCGAAAGCTCTGCGCCAAAGAGCCGTCGCAAATGAATGTCGCTGCGTTTCGTCGACTGATGGGGCGATTCGATGGCGGTGATATCGCAGAGACGATAACCAAAGTTGTGGAAGCACACGATGGAAAATCGGCTGGGAGGTGTTGTGCGAAAATGTATAGTCGAGAGCAATCTAATGGAAGGGTCAAAAGATGAGCGAGAGCATGGTGTGAAGTTGCGGAGTTTTGGTGGCAGGCTAAGAATTTAATTTCTCAGCCTCGTCTGCCTCCGCACATCTGCCACAAGGCTGAGCCATTAACTACCCTCCCACGCCCCACGCTACGACTTCACTCCCACATACTGCCCATACGTGTAGATGTGTTTAGAAGCTCTCCCGGCCTGAAAGGTGAAGTCATCTGATTGTAACAATGTCAGAGTCGTTCTATACATCCCCCCCAGCAGGAACAGCGCCTCCTGGCGCGCCAATTTCGCCGCCACCTCCGACATCACCAACCAGCGCAGTTGGTGCACCACCTCCGCCTCCGCCAAAACCGATATCTCATCTCTCTCAAAGTGCCGACCCCAGCCGGTCTGGGACGCCAATTCTTTCCTCTGCCCCAGCAGTACCCAGCAAAGTAGACTCTCCCCGCCCACCTCCACCACTCCCAGCAGAGCAGCACGCGACAAGCTCTCCCGTGCCTGGGCTTCGGCCGATTCCACCCCAAGATCCCTACCAACCCATCCCTCCACCGTCCATTTCCGAACGATGGCTTCCATCGAACGTCTCTAACAAGCCTCTCAATGAACTCCAACCGCTGCTCAGTAACCCCTCCTTGGTCGCCAGCCTAGCCTCGCAGCACCCCTCTTACGCCTCCTCGCTGATTCCTCTCGAAAGAGCCATCCAACAAAACGTTCAGCTCGCTCAGCAAGTTGCTCAACTTGAGAGTCAAATTCGTTCCCTGCGCGATGACACTGCTCAACTGCTTCTAAACCATACGAGCCTGCACACGCAGTGGCGCAGGAAGCAGACTGAGATGGACGATGCCTTGGCGCCTTGGGGCCCGAGACAGATGTATCAGCGGCTAGCCTCGAGTATAAACGAGCAAGAAGCGCTCTTGAAAGCTATGCAAGAGAGTTTCCTTGAGGGTGGAACTGATTCCGATGCTTATTATGGTGGCCCCAACAACGGCAAAGCAAGCGAGAAGGAAGTTAGTGAGTGGGTGAGGAGGATAAGAGAAGGTGCAACGGTGTTGGAAAAGAGAAGAGAGATGCGAGCACGTTGGGATGAAGGAAGAGTGGGCGGCTGGAGGTGACGACCACTTCTGATTCCTTAATGATACCTGAAGACTCCTTCTACCGAATACTCCTGCCTGGATTTCCATTCACCACCTCACTTGGCGACAACGTATTGGGGCCGAGTTGCCTACAGCCCAAACGCCAAACCAAGGCACACCACTGCCCCAACGATGCTCGATCCTAGTGCCAGTCTCGCGTCCCCGGTGTATGCACCGTTCCCTTCTCCATCTTCGGCCTTTCTATCGTATACAGTGCGCGAGGCCGAGGCGGCATAGCTGGATTCAACCGCAGCATGACTCGACATTGACAAAGCCAGCCTTGATTGCTCCCACGCGCTGGTTTGCAACAGCCCATCCCTCTCTTCGCTTGCCCACTTGGACTTTTCCGACGCCGCCTTTGACAATCTTCTAGCCGAGTCTGATTCTGATGAAGCCGCCCGAGAGACTGAGGCGATGAGTTCCTTGTAACTCTGGATAGATGCTATCCAGTTCTCAACACTTTGTCTTTCTGGATCAATTGTTGCATCCCGCAGAGCATAGGCGATCATGGTGGGCGGAGGCGTAATCGTTGCATAGTAATTGGTGACGCTGGCAGGGAGTTGGGCGAACCACTGCGGCACAGACCCGCTAGTGAATTCATTGGCTAGCGACTCGGCAGCATTGGCATCGTTGAGCATGGCGTCCTTGACTTCAGCTGGCACTGCAGCCTGGATCTCGTCGCTAATCCTTGCGTCTTCTCGAGCCTCGAGATGATTTTTATCAACAGCATTTGAGCGGATCTCGCCACGCTCTACCAGCTCAGCGTTAACGGAAGAATCGGTCTCGTCCGAAGATCGCAGATTGAGCTCGGGATCAAAGGGTGAACCGCCACCATCCTGGCGAGACTGCAGTGAGGTTTCCTCAGACAGGCAATCTTCAAAGTTGATCGTGCACCGTGCGCTAAGGATACACTCCCCAGAATTTGCATCCGCAGCGCAGGCAAAGAAGCCGAATGGGTCTTCGCAAGTGTCACCCATGACGGTGAAGCACCCTTTGTCCGTATTTGTTGCCCTCTTCCGGAGCTCAGCGGGCAGGTTTGGAAATGCTAGGATGTTTTGCATGGGAAGAGGGCTTCGAATCTGGCTGCTGGACTCTGGAACCCCGAGAATCACTTTCACGCCGTTGTCGACAGGCTGGCTCCTCTGTTCGGAAAGCAATGCTGCGGAGCCACAGGCCACAATGGCAGAGAGAAGAACAACTTTGGACGGCATCTTGACAGCAGGGTTGACGAGCAGCTCGTTGTTTGGAAGATGTAGGACTGGAGTGGTGCGAAAGGAACGAACAGAGGATAGAATGAATGGATATAGCTGCTAAGAGTTGAGGCAACGAGCCTAGCTCAACAGTCGATGCTTGCAAAGTGAATGATGCTGGAATGGAAGTGATGTGAAGAAGAGGAAGAGAGAGACCGCAGAGACAATTCACATGCTTAAAAGAGAGCGGGAGAGAGCGGACCAGATGGGAGGCACCTTCCTGTCGATTGCATTCCTTCCACTCCTCGAATGTTGGGACGTCATGACGGGCAACGGCAGCCATGAAAGATCAACCACGAAGATCGAACCGCGTATGAAGGCACAGAGGCCGAGAAGTCGAGTAGCACGTTGAGATGTGTTGACAGAACTGCTAAAAGATATGTTACGTAGTAGCACGCCTCATTAAATCACCTTACATGCGCTTTCACCGAGATTGAGTGGCGATGTCATTATTATCCTTCTCGGTCATTCGGTCGAATCGGTCACTCGCTCTACAAGGCTGTCAGTCTCCGCGAGTCTCTCCCGACTTGCACGTCCATCCGCACGCGACGACCGACGACCGAACAGCGAAGGCGCACTCAATCAATAACGAAAGATCAGCACCTGATCCAAGGGATATGTGTAAGACGTTCATGTTTCTACCATATATAAGGTGCAGTCTCTTCACTTCGACCTGCATTACTCAGTGACATAATTTTGTCGCTGACCTTTACGCGCCTTCTGATTGGCTGAAAAGGTGTATTTTGGCCTTCGGTGCAACCTTCAGGAGTATTACCACACACCGCATCACTTCAGATCCTCACAAGCATATAAGACAGAGAGAACAGCAATAGGCATTTTTTTCAGACTGCATCAGAGACTTGTTCCAGAGATTTTGTCCAGTTTGACCGTCTTGACCAAGAGCCGAACCTTTGTTGTCACGTCGCTCGAAACAGCTTGAAGAAAAAGAGGGTCCAGATTAACAGCACCTCACAACAACATGGGTAGGGAGAAGTGGTGCCATGGGATGATCCCAAATACAAACCCATCAAGCCAGGAAAGAGAAACACTCCCTACAGCACCAGATCTGGAGGCGAACCAGCCGCTTCTTTTGTCGCGGACGTCAACTCTCCAAGAAACTTCACAAACTTCACGCAGACAGTCAGTATCCGACTTCCCGTCAGACAAAAGATCACAGCAACGTCGGAGATGTTTTTGGCTGGATTGGGATTGTCGTGTCAACGCGCGAGTTGTATCTGATGCCATCCTGGGACTTTCAGATGGACTCACGGTTCCATTTGCTCTCACTGCTGGTTTGACAGCCCTGGGGGATACCAGAGTAGTTATCCTAGGTGGGCTCGCAGAGCTGATAGCTGGAGCAATATCAATGGGACTTGGGGGATATGTTGGTGCTAAAAGTGAAATGTATGCCCAAGTACATGAATCCGCTGCACCGATATGACCAACGCTGACCTGAGACAGTGAATCATTCAACGCCACAGATCGCAACTGTAACGAACTTATCCTGCACGAACCGCAGGCCGCAAGGGATTTTATCCAGGAGTATTTCGGACAATTTGGACTGTCGGCAGAAGAGACGAAACGAGTGGCAGATCACATGGAAGCATCAACTCCGGTTCTCAAAGACTTTCTCATGCGCAATCAATTTCAAGCCTCGAAGCCAGACACGGGTCGACCGTATCTATCGGCACTCACACTGGGCATCAGTTACTTCACCGGCGGCTTCATTCCCCTGATACCATATTTCATCGTTGCTCGTGAGAATGTTCTGGCCGGATTGTGGTGGAGCATTGGACTTATGGCAGTCGTGCTACTGATATTTGGATATGTCAAGACGGGAGTCGTTCGGGGATGGACTGGCAAGGAAAATTACCAGGCTTGCACCGGAGGAGCGCTCCAAATGCTGGTTGTGGGTGTTATTGCCGCTGGCGCTGCAGTGTGTTTGGTGCGACTGATCAGTGGCAATTGAGCAGTTAACCTAGAACGGGCACAACGGATTGCACGGTTCTAGGAGTTTTCCCATACTGCGTAAACATGGTCCCGTCTGGCTATTCGTCGAGATGCAAAAGTCAGATTGACCCCATGAACGAGTGGCCCGTGCATAGAGAGTGGTGGTCGAATGATGCGAATGCTACTGGGGCTCGGTCGGTATCCGCGGACTGACTCGATCGATAGGCACGGCAGAGGCTATGGATTAAACCTGGGAAGGGTTAACAGGTCAACAGGGTCAATGTGAACAGAGTGGACCTTGTATGATAGAGTTTTTTTCCCTCGTTAACGGGCGAGTTGGACCGTTGGGTTATCTGGGAGTCTGGGCGTCTGGAAGTCTGTGTGCCTGGGTATACTTGGTACCCACGAGTTGTGTACCGAGTCGCTAGTACCAA